TTAGTTAACAGCCGGTCGCCAGAAAATACGTGTGACCTGAGATGGGGCATCTGGCTGGGAGCCTGAGTGGTTCCTTCCTGGGGCTTTGCCACCCTCATCCCCACCCTTGGCTGAACATGTTGGGCACGCCTCTCGGTGCTATTCCCCAGCCACCCCCTTTGGCACTTGGACCAAGGTAAAGGGGGCACTTCTTGAGGCCTCCCAAGCATGGCTGCCGTGATTGACCATCCGTGGGCCTTCGATTCCTGGGGAAGGAGGAGGAGCGGAAGCCGCAGCAGGATTTTTGCTCCTGAGGTGACTCCCCAGCCTGGGGCCCTGCCCAGATCAGGCTTCTATCACATACCTACCAGGTGCTCTCTCCGGCCTCTCTGAAACAAGACCCTCTGCAGTTCTCAGTAAAGCATGGGAGTCCCTCACCTACCCCGTGGGCCCTCTAGGTGGAGTGGCTACCCCGCTTGTGTAGAAAGCACACTGCCCCAGCCATTTGTTAGGGTACAGACGCTTAGTGGTCAACACCACTCTGGGACTAGCTCAACCCAGCCCCTGGTGTCTCCTCTGGTTCTCCTCCTTGGAGAATGGGCCCTACCAGTTACCTAATATCAGAAGGGAGACTGAGATCAGAAGGACCTAGAAGCTTGCCCAAGGTTGCACTGCTGGAAGAATTAAGCCAGGGTAACCGCAGTGCCAGTATGCAGGGACCCACTGTGTCAAGGAGTCACCTGTACCCATGCATGAACCAAGCACACTTCCTCTAGCGCGGCAAAGACTCGGAGCTCTCGCTGAACTCCCTAGCTTTAAGCCCTTCCTCATCGCTAAAGTGGGACACTTAATGACAATGACATTATTTCTCGGTGTCCTGCAGAATGAATTAAGTGGCCTATGTCAGGAAATGAGCATTCTTACTGTATGTTTGACTATAACTGTGTAATGCATGCAGATAAAACCCTAGTCTGTTCCCATATGTACACGTGCCCACCCACACACAGATGGGCATACATGTATAACTCACCCGTCCCAATATAACTCCGTCCATACACACACAGACACTGCAGGAGAGGCACAGGCATTGCAGTTGCACCTGGAAATCCCACAGGTGCTCTGGCTCATGCTAGTTGGCCATACTCAAGGGGTCTGGGTCCTGTTTGCCCCTCAGTAGAACAGCAGTGACTTTGGTCAGGAACCCCACTGGTGTCCGAGTCAGTGGCATTTAGGAGAGGCCTGCCAGCAGCCATGGGTGGGAGCAGGTGGACACCTCTGCCGGTGCCCACCCATGCCCACCTAGGCATGGGTCAGCCTATCCATCGTGGTTTGCTGGAGGTGCCCACAGCTGAGCCAGCTTTAGGCTTCGTTCTAGAGCCATCATCTCACCTGGCACCAGGGGGTCCTGGAAGCTACCCAGCCCAGTCCTGCAAGTGTTGGGGCTGGAGTAGAAGTCTAGACCCGTGTTCCTGGGCGGTGCTGGCCACTAGGCTGTGAGGATGATGACAGTCAGCCCCAGGTCCTGCAGCCACTGCGGGGAAAATGAAGTCCTAAGCTGATGTCTAGGAAAGTGGATATACCTGGGCCTGACACATCACATTTTAGAGAGGGTACCTAGAGACAGTGTGAGGTACATAGGAACCTGGTGATGCTCTGCCAACTGGGTACCACTGTCATCCATTCAGCCTCTTAGCAAGTCTTTGTCCAGCCACCAGACCAGGTACAGAGCCTGTACAGCAGACGTAGGCCAGAGAACCAGGCCTGCCCCACCCCAGGGGCCTCCTCCATCTCCATCTCCGGCTCCACAGGGAGGGAGGCAGCAACATGTACAAGGATCGTGCCATAGGGGCACTAGGGAAGAACTCAGAAGCCTCCAAGGGAGATGGGCTTGATTCCTGGGCTGCAGCCCCTTGAGACGGGGAGAAAGGCCCACCCAGGAAGGAGGGGGTAGGAACAAGAATCTGGTAGACTTAGGGAGCTGCCTCCTGGAGTTCAGATACAGACTGATTGGATGGTGCTGATAAGAAAACCCTCCTTAGGAAAGTCGGGGTTCTAGGCCTCACACTGAGACGAAAATCCCCCTCGGCATCCCCTACAAGCCCTCAGCCTAGAGAAGGGGCATTCAACCTTAGCTCCTGCCCAGGATGACTTAGAAGGGTTGGGAGATAGTCACCCAGCCTCCGAGAGACCACCAAACCACCTGCCTTCCTGGGGCTTTGAGGAGTTGCTTCAAACGATAGTATTGGCAGCAGGGATGCTTTGGCATAGAAAATGTCCGTCATGAAAAGATCTTGACAAAGCCTTACCTAGATGCCTCCTCAAAGCACATCTTGTTTTGTCCAATAACAATAAAAGCCCTGGCCCCAGCCCAGATCCATCCTGGGGAAATCCCAGAAGAAGGTTCCTGTGGGCCAGGCTTTGCAGACACCTCTGTGGCCTACTGCACTTTGACTTAGCATCGATGAATGAGCCTTTGGAGGTCAGCGGGAGAAGGGTCTGTGAGGATGAGATGTGGTGTCACCACTGTGCTGTCAGCATTAGAACCTGGGGCTGCAAATGTAGGCATGAGCTTTGGTTTTCAAGAGCCTCTTGGAAACTGACCCCAGGTTGGGTACTGTGGCTAACTATCCCTTGCATTCTTGGGGATCCACTTGGCAAGCAGAATTGATACTCAAGCCTGTGTAGGCCCCCCCCCCAATCCAGCAGAGGGAGGAAGGTTTCCACTTCAAACCTAAGGCCAAGGAGCAGCTGACTACCTCCCTGCTCCCCTCGTGAGTGGGCAGCCAGGGCTCCTTGACACCTGCTAGCCATCTCTGCAAAGAGTAGACAGAGAACCTGTTTGAACATCAGAACGCAGACGGCCTGGCACTTCTTGACCAGCCTGTGATGCTCAGGGGCCCTCCTGGTTCAAGCCAGGACACAGTGGAAACCCTCTCTTCATATCCCTGTCAGTCTTCTCCACCCTCTGACAGCGTAAGCGCCGGCCTCACTACCGAATGTCAGGACCCCTAAGGTAAAGCGGAGGATGAGGGAGGCACCGCCATCCCGAGCCTGGCCTCAAAGTGAGCACCTGTCTCCCACCGCCCCTAGTTGTGCATGGTGCTGAAAGCATATCCTGTCAGTCCCAGGAAATGAGTCACCTGGAACCAGTCATCAACCAGGAGCTGATGAGTCCAGTCATCTGGTGCCCTGAGCATTACCAGCCTCTAACCTGCCTGTGACTACCACCCGGTCCCAAAAAATGGGTACCAACACCTCCCTTTCCAGCATTGCTCCGTGGCCTCAACTAGTCTCTCATAAGCCAAGTCTCACTTCTGCCTTATGTTAGTATTCAGGAGTCTGTACTGGCCTGTCCTTGGGGTTCTGACAGGACACGCCCTCAGCTGCTGCCTCTGAGAGTACCACCTGTGCACATTCACTACATTCCCTTTTAAAAGGGCCCTGACCTCCCTCCCTCCCTCCCTCCTTTCCTTCCTCCCTCCTTCCCTCCCTCCCTCTTTTCCTCCCTCCCTCTCTCTCTCCCCCTTCCTCCCTCTCCCTCTCTCTCCCCTCTTTCCTTTCTCCTCCTGCTGCTCCTGTCTCCAGAGGCTGGTCTTCCCCCTTCCCTTTCCTCTATTTATGATCCTTTTTCCTAATTGAAAACAAAACAACAACAACAATTTTTAAAAAAACCCTCTGCTTGAACCCTGTCGCATGGTGCTCTCTCTCTCTCTCTCTCTCTCTCTCTCTCTCTCTCTCTCTCTCTCTCTCTCTCTATCTCTCTCTCTCAAGCTGATTTTCTTAAATTACAACACCTTAACCCAGAGACCCATCATCTTGTAGACCAAACCCAGTTGCCTCTTCCTGCCCAAGGGATGGCCTGATACAAGGGGCCTTTGGGCCTCCAAGAATGTTTAGATGAGCCGCCCCCCTGGAGGTTGCCTGTGTGGCCTGGTCTTGCCATCACAGCACAGAGGGCCGGCCCAGGACTTGGGTTCTAGTCGAGGCTGTATAGTTGCTCCGTGCCATGGGGAAGGAACCTCCCGCTGCCCCCTTTTTCACCCCTGCAAGAAATGAACACTCTGGTCTGTGCCAGGCAGCCCGCAAGGGCCCTGGGCCATGGGATTTGAGCTAAAGAATTGGGCCAACTCTGTCAGTGGCAGAGGAGACCTCAGAACCCCAGGTAGTCAGTGACCCAGCTGAGACCTTTGAGGCAAACAGGCCACGGCCTCAGTGGGCAACCCCGGAACATCCTAGAAAGGCGGGGATAGGTAGTCCCGGACTATTTGGAAACCCAGGCTTGTTGTAAGGTACGTGGGGGACTTAAGACCTAGGAAATGACCTGCGTCCTCAGGCCATGCGGAGGACAGAGGAGGGACGGGAAGTGTGATCGGGGCGAGCTCCCCTGCTAAAGGTCTGAAGACAGGCAGGGGCCCACGATGAGGGGCATCAGACGTTTTACTCCAGGACTGATTTCTGAATGGATGAAGAAGTGGGTGAGCAAACAGCATTCGTGAACAAGAGATATGAACGAGCCTTTGTCATGGGCACCGGTTGCCAGAGTCCACGTGAGGGTGCGGTGCCCACTTACCGTGACTGCAGGGTCGACACGCTTCGAGAGTGGCTGTGGCCGCTGAGGTAGAAGCACCGCTGACTGACCGCCGACTTCCGGTGTGCCAGTGAGGCTGATGGGAAGACAGATCCCAGGCCGCTGGTGCTCAGACAGAACCCACTCCACATTTCCCGAATAATGCATTCCACGTGGGGGAATACCTCTGTTTGCACTATTTAATGTTCTCATCAGATGTGCATGACAGTGGGCGGAGGTCTCTTGGACCTTCTTCTCAGGACGAGTATTTGTCTTTTCTGCTACCGTCACTCTGGGCATTGCCCGTGTACCCAGGTGGTCTGGCTCGGTGCCTGGCCTCTGGGCACGCCTTGCCCTGTCCTCTGGCTACTCCTGCCCTCTACCATGCCAGCACCCAACCTGCCACCACCAGACCGCAGGCACTCACAGCCTGTTCTCTCTTGTCCCTTTGCAGGCTGGTGGTTTGTGAGCACATCTGAAGAGCAGGGTTGGGTCCCTGCCACCTACTTGGAGGCCCAGAATGGCACACGAGATGACTCAGACATCAACACTTCCAAGACTGGAGAAGGTGAGGACCTGTATGTTCTTAGGAGGGTGAGGAAGCTGGACGGAGGGATTTGAGGGGCCCAGCCCCTCCTGGAGACATTCTTTTACCCAAGCCCTTCCATTGGGATTCACTCACGGAGACAAACCCACATGGTCACCTCTGGCCTGTCTTTGTCAGTCCCCACATAGGGCTCAGAACAGGGAAGAGTCTCCTGGCTTGTGGACCTCAGACTTTGTCAGCTTTGGGGCAGAGAACAGGCTTAGGACTGGAATGTTATCCCCCAGAAACTCCCGAGTTTCTCTCAGCTGCTTCTACTCCCAGCTCCTCACTAGGCTCCTGCGGCAAAGACCCCAAGCGGTCACGTGGGCACAATTCCTGCTCTGTTTCATCCCACCCCCACCCCGCCCCACCCTGGACACTGACAGCTGCCCAGTGGTACAGACCAGGCTGGCCTGTGAGATACCTCTCAACTTCCCAGAGACTGGGGCGCTCATACTCCCATGCAGGAGTCTTCTCCATGCGTTTCAGAGAGACTGCCTCTGCCCTCTGAGCCGGCAGCATCCCAGCAAGTCCCAACCTTCCGTGTCCCAACTCTCTGCTGCTAATGCTTTCCAAATCTCCTGTGGCAGCAGGAGTCCTCTCCCTAATGGTCAGTCGGTGGGAATGGTCCAGATGGCTGTCTGAAGGCCAGAGAGACGCAGACTACCCACAGCCCAGGCCTGCTCCTCTGCCCCCTTCTCCCTGCAGCTCATAGAGGGCCAAGCCTCGTTCGTTCTTCCCCACGATGTTAGATGCTCTGTTGGGGGTTGGGACCCCACCCTTCTTGTGCCAGTGCCTTATTCCAGCCCTGTGATTAGAGGAAGGACTCTGGCCAAACACATCCTTGTGCAGGGCTCTAGAGCCTAGGACCCCTTGGGAAGAGCTGGGGCATTCAGACAGAGCTGTTCCCATCCTGCACCCTTGAGCCTGTAGCTAACTCCAGCTCTTTCGGGCCTCTGAGCTGCGTTCCACCCACGCTGGCTGCAGTCCCCATACCTTGCCACCTACCCAGTGCCCTATTCTTCGAAGCCTGCCGGGCCTCTCAAGAGTTCAGCCCTGGCCTGGGCTACATGAGACCTGCTTTAAAAGAATAAAGAGAAGCCGGGCGTTGGTGGCACACGCCCTTAATCCCAGCACTCGGGAGGCAGAGGCAGGCGGATCTCTGTGAGTTGGAGACCAGCCTGGTCTACAGAGCTAGTTCCAGGACAGCCTCCAAAGCCGCAGAGGAACCCTGTCTCGAAAAACCAAAAGAAAGAGAATAAAAAGATAAAACCTTTCAAAAGGCCCCAATGCCAGTCCAGGAGCAAACCCTTGTCACCTACCCGGGGAGATGACACATATGTCATCTTTCTAATTGCAAAGACGTTTAGTCACCTGCTTGTCCTTATCAGGTTTGGGTGCAGGTGGACTCACTACTGTGCCATGGCCTGTCTGAAGCATCTGGGCTTGTCAAGGAGAGTGTATGACACGTAGGCTGCCCCAGGAGGAGCAGGGCAGAGGTGGAGGCCTGAGACAGAACCAGGCGGGGTAGGAAAGTGTTTAGCAGGCCTGGGTAGAGTGGCGTGGGCATTTAGCAGGGAACAAGTGGTAACAGGCTGTTCTGTGGCTGTGATAAACACCATGACCAATAGCAAGTTGGGGATCAAAGGGTTTATTTCACTTCCAGGTTGTAGCTCATCAACAAGGGTAAGCCTGTACCAGAAACACAGAGGAACACTGCTTACCCTAGCATCTGCTCAGTTAGCTTTGTTAAACAGCCCAGGGCACACACACACACACACACCAAGCCTAAGGATGATACTGCCCCTGGTGGGCTGGGCCCTCCTACGTCAATCAGGAAAATGCCCCCATGGCTGCCGTCCAGTCTGATAGAAGCAATCCCCCAATTGAGATTCTCTCTGAGTTGTGTCAAATTGACAGTTGAAGTTATAAAACGGGTTGTGGAGGACTTTTAGCCCCGATGGATTAAGAATCAGGGGGCAGCCCGGGTAACTTCTGGGTTCACGGGTGTGTGTGTGTGTGTGTGTGTGTGTGTGTGTGTGTGTGTGTGTGTGTGTGTGTGTGTATGCATGTGTACACCAAGAATGCTGCTGCTCTGCATGTCTCTAGGAGGGCCTGTGTGTCAGCGCCTGTAGCCACACTGTAATAACCTCCTATCCGGATCTCCGGGGCCTGGAGTGCGACTGGGCTGGGGCCCACCCTCGTAGACTATTGCCTTGGCCGCTGTAAGAAGTAGTAGGCTGCAGGCCTAGAGAGATGCCTCTGTGGTTAAGAACACTGATTGCTTTTCTAGAGGACCTGGGTTCCATTCCCAGGACCCACAGGGCAGCCCACAACCATCTCAAACTACAGTTTCAGGAGATCCAATACCCTCTTCTGCTATTGGTAGACATACATGCATACACATAAAATAAAACTCTTAAAAAATAAGAGGAAAAGGGAGGAGGTTGTATGGACCACCCTCCTCAGAGAGCAGGCAGATACTCTCAGGATTTACTGGATTTTTGGCCCAGATGTGTGTGGACAATGTTACTTTTATTATCTCTACCAACTAGCCACCCTCCCCAGAACTAAGCAGTCTGGCAGCTTCCTTTGGTGCTAGGAGGTGAGGCAAGCTGGCACCCTGGGACCCTGGTCCAGTGCTGTTCCCTTAGGTGTCACACTGGGGGCCAGGCCCAAGCCTGAGGGCGCTTGGGAACTCAGTGCCCATCTGTAGTGAGGCAGGGAAGGTATCCAGGCAAAGCGGTCTTGAGCAGTGAGCCGCTGGGGAGCTGTGGGCTTTGTCATCAGAAACAAAAGGGTAGCATAATGGAACAGGGCCTTGCCTGTGGCATCCGCCCATGCGTGTTTCATTCAGCAAACCTTTCCTGGGCCAGTACCTGGCATTGTGTAAGGCCCGGGGACACACAGGTACAAGGCAAAGTCTTCGCCCTCAATGGACCCCACCTAGTGGGGACCAATAATAAAGCCAAGATATAAATCAGCACAGAGTGGAGAGCTCTGACCCGCTTTCCCTGGGCACCCTTCTTCCCTCCCAAAGTACCTGGCCATGGTGACAAGTTGACAGGATAGCAGCACTACCCAGAACTCCAGGAGAAATGGTTCCTCCTTCTCTGGGAGCTGCTATTGAGGGCCTTCCCATCTCTAACAGAGCAGGACCCTAAACCTGGGGGTAGAGGCTGAGGGGCTTGGTCGAATGTGCCTGGACAGGGACACCTCATCCAGCTAGGGTGTGCCCCTTGGTTCGGTGTAGGTGACGGTGCCTGGCAATATGGACACATCTCCCTGTCTCCTCCCCTCCACCATCCCTCTCATCCCCATCTCCATTCTCTCCACCGGTTTGGTTCGTGTGGGCCGTGGGCACCATCACCATCTCTCACGCCAGTGTCCAAGAGACGCAAAGCCCACCTGCGGCGCCTGGATCGCCGGTGGACCCTGGGCGGGATGGTCAACAGGCAGCACAGCCGAGGTGACCACAGGCGCCTGCCTCTCCTGCCTGCAGCCGCTTGTCTCTCACTAACACCTTCTCCTCTGCCTGCTCTGTCCTCTGCCTGTGGTCTCCTGACTCACCCAGATCTGCCCAGACTTTTGTCTCATTCACTGCCGCTCAGATTGGGGACAGGGCCTTGCTTGGGGATTAATTGGAGGGGCACACTAGGGGTTGCTCTGGCTCGCTAGTGCCCTGGGCATTGGGGTTGTGGGGCTGACGGTGAGTTTATATGTTCCTTGGAAGGGAAGAGAGACATGAGGGAGGTCCCTGGGTCTCAAAGGAAGGCATCCCTGTCCTGGGAGATCGCAGCTTTCCGGTCCTGCCAGGACTTCCTCTCTTGTCTTTTATGACTGCCTTCCACTAGGAAAGATTCCCTCAGCCACAGCTCTCCCGCCAGCTGCACTACCATCCTACAGCCCTTCTCCACTTGGAAGGGCGCAGAAGCCAGACCCATCATGGCGCCAAAGCATTCCCCAGCCAGCACTGCTGAGGGGCAGTCCCTCAGCAGCAGGGGCAGTGGCCTGTAGGTCTCAGGAGGAGCTCAGTAAGGGTTCCAGGAAGGCCCTGGGCTGACTAGGGAGCTGACATCTGCTGACTCAGGGCTGTTTGGCCCAGTCCCTTCCCAGCACGCAGGGATTTGTGGAAGGAGTGGGGGAAACGGAGGGATAGCCTCTGGCAGGGATCTATGGAAGGAGTGAAGCAACGGAAGGAAAGCTTCTGGGTGTACCCCTAAGCATCTGCAGGCCTTCATGCTGGTGGGTGGTCAGTGTCTCTTGTCCCCCAGAGAGGAGGGCAGAGTGTGTACTTGTTGTGGCGACAAGACAGCTGGAAGCTGGGACGGGTGTGTAGCCTCTCTGGAAAACGGGGATACCCCCGGCCTCAACACCCTCGCTCTCAAGGCTTGTCCCCAAATGACAGTGTGTTTCGGTGCCATCCCCAAGACTCGGGCTACAGAACGTATGGACTTCAGGGTGGCCACAGCCACAGCCACAGGCTGACTCAGAGGATTGGCCATAAAGAACCCAGCTTGTCCTAAGGCAGGGCTTAACGTGGGCCCGGGGAGCTGGCACAGGCTGCCTGAGTTGGGGAAGCAGCAGCAGGCCACATTTAAAGCAAAAGCCACCCTAAAGCCAGGAGGGGGGGCAACTCTGCCAAAAGGCTAGGGTGGAGCAGGGCCTCCAGCTTTAGTGGCAAAGACAGATAGGATGTGGGCCCAGATCACACAAAGGATTCAGAGGTTTGGCCTGTTCTGCATACCGTCACTTACTGAGTCCCAGACATGCCTTTGCCTGCATGACTACACAGATGCAATAGAGACCAGAGACAGGCCCACACATGGGCCTGAAGGCTACAGGTGTGACTAGTACTGCGTCATATCCAACTGCCACAAACAACGCATATACATAACCCTTCATAGCATTAAGACACGGTATAAAATGCATGCAGATGTTAGATGCCCAAGTGACCCCAGTTCTGTGGTCACCCATACACGAGCAAAGATGCGCCATAACTTCATTATCACACGCCTCCCAGCCCTAGTCCTATGAAGTGCATTAAATCAGGCAGCCGAGGAGGGCTTGCAGAGGGCTGTTGGTGGGCACCACACTAAGTGGAGGAGCTGGAGGGGGGAAGCCAGCAGTAGGTCAGTAAGTAACTAGATGAGAAGAGCCAGTGCTTCCCGGAGCCTGTACTCCCCATCCCTCAGCTGGCCAGGCCTTTGGAATCAGAGGCCTCTCTAGTGGAGGAGTTGGAGGGGCCAGGAGGGGAGCAGAGAGACTGCTGACAGAGGGGAAAGTGTTTGGAAAGAGGAGGCTTCTGCGGTTTGGAAAGTGCAGGGCTTCCAGCCCCTGCCTCCCAAACTGGGACAGGCTGTCCACCTCCCCCAGTCTACCCACCGACCCACCCGCCCGCCTCCTGGCCAGCCGTCATTCACCAGGGCAGGAGAGCCATCAGCTCCGCGCTCTGATCATAGAACCCAGAAGCCCTGACCAGCCCCCAGCCACCTCAGTCTTCCCTCAAGCCTGTCTCTTAAAGGGGCATCTCTTCCAGAGACCAACTGCAGACCCGCTACCTAGACAGCATTTCCATCTGTCTGAACATCCTCTTGTCTAGACATTGACCATGGTGTCTATGGCCAGGTCCAAATAGGGGGAACGGTCTTTGCTTATCGTCAACCCAAGACCCAAGTCACCTGTGTCAGCAGGAGGTGGATTACATCCCTGTCTCTCCAGCCAAACTGAAAACCACCTGTCCAAAGAGGCAGGCAGGCAGAGGTGGTCCCCCTGCCTCGCCCTATCAGGAACCAGGGCCTGGACTCTTCTCTGGAACCCTGCATTGAAAAGGACAGAACAAGCCTCTGTGCTGTTTAGAATCTTAACTGGGAGAGCATGACATCCCCAGTGTCCCCAAGCACAGGGACTCTTGTGGATGCAGCCGCTTCACTGGCCAGAAACAATATCCATGGTTCTCCCTGTGCCCCAAGGGACTGGTCATGGACCCCGCCCACCACACACACTTAAAAGGTTGCTGTGGCCAGGCTTGGCATCCAAGAGGCTGGACACATGGTCAAGGCCCTGTTCTCAGTCACGGGCCAGGGCAGGGTTTCTCTGATCTTCCCCTAAGAAGGGCTGTCATTTTCCTCTTCAAAAGCAACCTTGCCTAGGAAAACTTTCCCGATAGCTTCCTGCTCGAACCACGGGCTTTTAAAAATAGCCTGGCTAAACAAAAGCAGAATGTGGAGCCCAGGCATCGCCTCCCTGGACCTCAGGCCCTGCATTCCCAGACCTGGCGCTGTCCCTTAGCCACCGCCTAGGTCAGGGTTTACCGTGCCCCACTGGAAAATGGAGCTGGGTTGGCCTCGAGCCTATGGAACTTCTCCAAGGCCCTAGTCAGAATCTGGCTGGGCAGGTTCTCAGGCAGTGTTGGCAGCACTCCTGGGCAGGGCTGGGATGGAATCTGCAGGCCCCGAGCAGAGCCCTCCTCAGCTGATATGGTAAAGGGACGCCCAACGAAGAGCCGCGCAGCCTCCCGAGGCCTTCACTCACCTTCTGCTTTGGGGCGGCCTTTCAAGTACGGCCTGTGGTCCATCCGTTCCATCCCACAAGCTGGCAGGACAGCTGCCTCTGCCTGAGGGAAATGCTGTTGGCCCAGCACAGGGCTGCAGACAGTATCCTGATAACCCAGGGAGAATGAGCAGCTGGCCCTCCCACAGCAGGGCTCTGCTCTGGCAGTGCTCTCCTCATCCCCATAGCCACCCAGAGGTTGAGGCAGGCTGCCCATCAGGCCCGGTGAAGGAGACCAGGGGGGTGGGTACCACGGCTGGGAGGCCAGAAGCAGCAGGATCCTGCTAGCTTTGAGCTTCCGCACAAGCCTCGCGCTTAGTCCCTGCTCTTCCTGCTTCCCTCCTCACTGACAGAGTCTCAGCCTCTGTTGCAACAGCCTCTCCTGCTGTGTGCTGGGAACCACGGTGAGTGGTGACCTCTAGCAGGGTTCAGGGCGACCCTCCTAAGGGCACCTCCAGAAAACCACTTCTTCCAGTGGGGAGGGTGCAGTATTTTCCTCCCTGGGCTCCACGCCATCCTATAGACAGTCTTAGAAGAGGCAGGTGGCCTCAGCCAGTCAGTTGCAGGTTCACCAGAGGGCTTGGTGAGGTCAGGCATGGACCTCGGCAGATGTGGGGGGCCTGAGCAAAGGTCCTTAGGGATGCCCAGGGAGATGCCTGCTGCTCACCCTTCCCACCAAGCTCTTTCCAGGATTCCAGCGCTATGGGAAAACTTGGAGGCAACCCCAAAGGCACACAGGGAAAACAGAGCACGCAGCTCTCCGGGAGGGGCTGGTGGCAGGGCCCTTAAGGTCTTCCTACCCTTGAGGGTTTAGCAGCTCCACAGCCGCAGGGCCTTCACCTTACCTGCAACCACTCCTGTAGAGCTGGCTCCGTGGAACACTCCAGGGCTGATGCCGAGTCTGATGTTAATAGGGCTGAGTTGCTCAGTGAAGGCACCCCTGGAAACATCTGGAAGTCAGACTGAGGGAGCAACTAAGAGGCTTACAGGGCTGGCATCTTGGGTATGGATACAGATGGGACATGGCATGTCTGAGTGAGGTAGGATGGGCTAGGGTTCTCAAGGCCTTTGGAAGACACCTCGCATTGGCCTCCATTTATTGACTTAGACTCTAGGAAAAGCAGATTCCCCCAAACTCTGGGCACCAACACCCTGGCTAGCGGACCTTCTTTCTTGCTGCCCTAGGCTGTGCTGGGCACCTGGCATCCTGCCTGGCTTTGGCTTGTCCTAGGAATAACAGTGACCGCCCCCCACCCCCACCCAGTGATTCTTCCTCTGCTCTCTGAATCCTGCTCCTTCCTCTTCTCTGGAAAAGCCAGTGCTGGCCCAGGGCGTGCCGAACAAGACTAGGCCGGGGCGTAGGGGGATGGGAGACAGGATCCATCTGCACCACAGCCTCAAATAACTGTGCTCTCTTACTCTCCGGCCCACTCGCAGAAGAGAAGTATGTCACCGTGCAGCCCTACACTAGCCAAAGCAAGGACGAGATTGGCTTCGAGAAGGGCGTCACCGTGGAGGTGATTCGGAAGAACTTGGAAGGCTGGTGGTACATCAGGTAGGACCCCGGCTCCTCTCAACAGCTCAGAACAAAGTAGCCGATGGAGGGTAGGTGCCTCCTAAAGACAGCTCTGCTCAGCCCACCGACTGTCTCCTGGGACCTGAACGCACAGGCTGAGCCCCGGCCAGGAGGGCACTGGGGCCAGCTCGGCTCACAGGCTGAGTTGCAGTCCCTCACTGTGCTCCTGCCAGGAGGCTACATCTGAGTCTTGTTTTCTGCGTCCACCTTGGCTGCCTGGCCAGCTCGTCAGCCTTCACAGGCCCTGCTAAGGCCCAGCACGCTGCCTCTGTTGTTCCCAGCTCAACACTCAAGGTCGCAGGCACAGGCCTTCTGCATCCGGGTTCTTGGTGGGTGTAGGCCCTTGCACTCTGCAGGGCGGGAGCTCTCCCTTCTCTCACTCTCTCAGAGCCTAATAAAGAGGTTCGTTTGGGTGTGTGTGAGGAGCGGAACAAGATTAACTCCGGGGATCTTGTTTGGTCACCAGCCGTAGACCTGCCTTAAGTGCATTTGTTCTGGAAAGTTCCTTTGGAGCAGTTCAGTTGTGGGGAATTTGCTCAGCTTCTCTCTTCTGCTTGCAACCCAGCTAACAGTCCCCTATGTGAGCTGCAGGGACAGCTGCCTCAGTTCCCCACATCCCCACCCTTGAAAAGGACATTGCCGTGTCACAGCACCCGGTGACATCCATCAGTGTGGCTCAGAACACAGAGAAGCTTGGTGGTCTTAAAGTTATGTCTTTGCTGCCGGGAGGATGCAGGTAACTGAGCCTTAGTGTGAGCTGATGGGACATTGCTGCCCCGTCCCCTTTGTCCTGTGCCTGCCAGTCTGGAAGACTGAGATGCACCTTTCTATCCTGTTAGATGGTGTGGGCTGTGTATTCACTCGTGAGTTATCCAGAGCAACCACCCCTGGCTTTTATGTTCTCTAAGCAGTGGAAACTGGAACCAACTGCAAATCCGTCAGCCACAGCCGGACATGGAGAGGCTAACATAGCCCAGCTGGCTGGTGGCCTATGTGTGTTTGTCTAGAAGTGATCCCCGTAGCTGCTTTTTATACTTTGGATTTTCTGTTTGTCCATCTGTCCGTTTGTTGTGTTTTTAAGATAACAAATAGCATCACTCTGGGCTCTTTCTAGTTAGCTATTGTCCCAATAGCTTGGTTCTTTCTAGCCAGTGAGGACTTGAATTGAGAAAGACCCTAGTGATCCCATTCTACCTTAAGAAGGCTGCCAGATACCGTACCCTTAAACATGCTGTTTCCCAACATTCCAAGATGTGTGTTGATCCTCATTTCCTGTCTTTCTTTTCCTCCCCCAGCCTGACACACACACGCGCGCGCACGCGCACACACACACACACACACACACACACACATGCACATGCATACTCACACTCCTACACATTCCCTCTGCAGCCTGCATCTCGGGAGTCAGAGCTGGGAAACAGCTGTGAGAAAGTTGGCCCAGACACACAGCCACCCCTGATACTGTGCGTTGCTCTGCCTGCCGTATCCTGTAACACAAAGGGCTGTGAAATGGGACACCCCGGGCCACACTGCAGGCCTGACTGTCTATCTCCCAGCAGCCCCTCTCCCTATTCCTTCCACATAACAAGATACCAGCAAGTGTTTCAGCTTTTTCTGAGCTTCAAGAACCCCAGACTCTGGGCCTGGTGTCACACACTTCCCTCAGGCCCCTCTGCTACCTGTAAGCCTTGGCTACCTCCGTAGAAAGGTGAATGTACACGTTCGTCCAGTGCTACTCTCTGCTCTTAACGGCCTCTGCCTCTGTTTGTTCCCGTCACTTCCAGAAGCCATCCTCGGTTCAGTAATGTCTGTCCTCTAAGCAGCAAGTAAGTTGGGCACAACCTGTGTGTACCTCCCAGTGACATGAATGTGAGGAGCCCCTCCTGTCTGAACTTATGTGTTCCTTTGCTCCTACCTAACACACTCCCAAGATCAAGGTCACATCAGGAAGGGAGGTAGGGGGTTGTCAGACATCTGGTCTGTAAGAGCTGAAGAGACAGCTGTGTCCCAGGGAGCAGACGGGGACATTGCAACCCAGAGTTGGAAGCGCTGACCAGTTAGTGCTGGGCCCGGAAGCAAGCTCCCTGCGGATTTGGGTAAAGGCTCAAGATCGTGTGGGGGAAGACAGAGTTGTTTTAAAAAGTAAAAAAAAAAAACTAGTTGTTTTAAAAAGTCGACGAGTCACCAAAAACTAAGTCAGCCCTGTCATTTGCCTTTAGCCTTTGTTTATGGGCTTTCGGTTTGGTTTGGTTTGGTTTGATTAGGTTTGGTTTCGCCATAACAATGGTTTGTGTTTTATCCAGTTACATGCTTTCATCTGTATTTGTAGCCCTGGTTAGAATGGGTTTTTTCCAATCCCCAAGACCCAAGATTACATAAATACGACGTGTGTGTGTGTGTGTGTGTGTGTGTGTGTGTGTGTGTGTGTGTGTGTGTGTGTGTGTTTTAAACACTAAGTCTTGTTTACAGTCCTGGTTGGCCTGGTACTCCCTGGGTAACCTGAGCTGCTCTGACTTAAAGTGGTCCTCCTGCCTCAGCCTCCCCTGTGGTAAGATTGTAGACATGAGCCACCGTGCCTGGCTTTCTTTTCTCCCTCATTACTGTCTGATAAGAGACCACATCTCATTTATTTGGTTTCTCCCTAATTGTCCTCACCTATGAGATAGTTTATTTTTGCCCCACAGCGTTGAAAGGTTGCATTTGTGGACTTACTCTGTGAACTCTGTCTGCTGTCCCTCCAGTAGCACTGACCCCTCCCCCACCAGCCGGTGGTCACCCCCTCCCCTCCACTCCTTTCTTTTTTTTTAATGTTGTTTCATTTTGTCACAAGGTCTCTTGTATCCAGGCTGGCCTGTGTAACTGAGGATGGCCTTGAACTTCTGGCCCCTGCCTCTGCCTCCAGACTGCTAGGATTATAGGTGTGTGCTCCAAGCTTGTCCACAGGGCTAAGACTTAAAGTTTGCCTCTCTCCTTTTGTGAGAGTCTTACTCTCTAGCCCAACTCCAACTGTAGCTTAAAAATAAAAAATAGAATTATCTCTCCTCCCACCCCACCCCCGGCTTTGGTACTTTTGTACATGTAGACACCATATTTTGACCATATCCACCCCCAACTCACCCTTTCTACTCCCTGTAGGCTCCCCCAGCACTCGTATTCCTCCCTTCATGTCTGTGTGTGTGTGTGTGTGTGTGTGTGTGTGAGAGAGAGAGAGAGAGAGAGAGAGAGAGAGAGAGAGAGAGAGAGAGAGAGAGAGAGAGCATGCATGTGCGAACATGTAATCTCCTGGGTCCAATTAGTGCTGTACTGTTGGTCGATCTGTAGGTACTGTGAGTTCATGGGTGCAGTAGCCTTGTCGAGTCCAGAAAACAGCATTTCCCAGCACCCCCTCCCTACCCTCTGGCTCTTAATATTCTCTCTACCCCCTCTTCCGTGATGTTACCTGAGAGCGGGGTGGGAGGGAATGACATGGGTGTCCCACTTAGGGCAGACATTCAGTAGTCAATTATTCAACATGGTTGAAACAAGTTGTGAGTCTGCACTAACTGCTGACCACCACAGAGAGAAGAAGCAGGTCTCTGGCGAGGCTGAGGGTAACACTAGCTTATGTATATACCGGTAAATATTTAAAAGGAAACCTGACAACCATGTTCACTTAGCAAGACAACAACAGTCGGTGTCCCCAGGCGCTCATGATCAGGTTTACGGTACCAGCATGAACCCCTCCTGTGGCATGGGCCTTAAATCCAATCCCTGATCTGTCCTGCAACTTGTGATCCTCCTGTCTCAGCCTTCTGACTGCTGGGATTTTAGGCGTGCACCACCACACTCAGACAGCCTTTATAGATATCCTTTTTTGGTCTCAAGGTATCTGTCTTAGACCGGCTCTAGCCGCCGCATCCCCGTGTCTTACAGAAAAACAATTGAACTCTTAGAAACAAGGTAACAGCAAGAACCATCCCTGTGCTCGCCCCTTTCCCTTCCTGCGGGGAATGTGGCTCCTCTTACTACATCCATGGTTCATTTCTTTTCTCTAGAATTACCCCCAACTTCTTGGGCCATCATGAATCTATGTTTTGGACAGAACGACGTTTAAGAACCCTAATTTTAAGGTCCTGTCTTTGCCCGAGGACGATAGCTCAATGTGCAGTATCTTTCCCACTGACCCTAGCTCTGGTCTCCTGTGGGTCAGTGGAGCTGCCAGGCACATGAAGGCTTGGCTAGGCAAGGTCAGATGGAGACCGAGGCCTGGGAGTAGAAGGGGATGCCAGATACGAGGGCTTTATTGATGGTGTGGTCCTTCCTCTCACAGATATCTAGGCAAAGAGGGCTGGGCACCAGCATCCTATCTGAAGAAGGCCAAGGATGAGCTGCCGAGCAGGAAGAAGAACCTGGCGGGTCCAGTGGAGATCATCGGGAACATCATGGAGATAAGCAGCCTGCTCAACAAGAAGGCCGCTGGGGAGAAGGAGGCCCCGGCTGAGGGCGAGGGGTCTGAAGCCCCCATCACCAAGAAGGAGATCAGCCTCCCCATCCTCTGCAATGCCTCCAATGGCAGCGCCTTGGGAGTCCCTGAGAGGACCACATCGAAGCTGGCCCAGGGTTCCCCAGCCGTGGCCAGGATCGCCCCTCAGAGGGCTCAGATCAGTAAGAGCCCAAAGAGCCCCCGCAGAGTGGGTGGGCATGGGTGCAGGGGAACCCAGGGACTATCGGACACCTCCGTGTGATTTTCACCCTGAGCCACAGTCTGGCCTCTGATTGTCAGCGTGCCCTGTGCTGGTCACACGCGTGAAGAGGGCCGGGGAGTGTGGCTGGCTGTGTACCTGCAGCCCCTGCTCTGAAGACACATTGCTGGAGAAAGCGGCTGCCGGCCTCCCTCTCCCTAAGAAAGAACCGGGGTGGCTCTTAGCAAAGGAACAGACCCCAAGAGCAGGAATGACATCTTTTCTCTCCCGAAGAGGCGTTAGGACTCTAGATGATCGGTACAGAGCTGATTTTCCAACCCCACGGGCCCCCAAGTGTATGGCCCTCTGTGTCCTCTCTGTGCAGGCCTGCTTTGTGGGCGAAAGACTGGAAGAGGGTGTGTAAGGATGCTTGCCACTCAAGCCTGATCTGCGTTTGATTCCCTGGGACTGGCTACAGGTGGAAAACTGACTCCCTAAGGCTGTGGCACATGTGCCCACCCCCCACCTGCATTCACAATAAATTACTAAAGCCTGTCTGTCCGCACCCTATACACACCCCTGGGGTATAGAGAGGGGGACACACAGTTTCCGTTTGTGTCCAGCCAGTGGGGAAAGCTATTTTGGGTTTTTTGTTATTTTTGTTTCTCTCTCTCTCTCCCTCTCCCTCTCTCTCTCCCTCCCTCTCTCTCTCTCTCTCTCTCTCTCTCTCTCTCTCTCTCTCTCTCTCTCTCTGTGTGTGTGTGTGTGTGTGTGTGTGTAATATTTAGCCTTTGTCTATTGTTAGCTCTTGGTACTTGGAGAAGTCTCTACTGGGCAGGACTTTCATCTGGCCTTGTGTTACCTGCAGAGGTCTTAGGACTAGTATGCAAAGATAGATGTGGTTTCTGCTTCTACTGGAAACCATAGATTCATGCAGCCTTTGCTTTGACACTGCCTCTCCGCGGTGTCTGTAGACTGGCATCCCTATCGTTTGAGAGGAAGAACAGGCAAAGAAGCTAAAAGGTCCCTTCATTCCTACAGTGACTTAGAGTACAGGGTCTTTCATAACCGTGGGACCAAAGTATGACATTTAAGGATCCAGAGTGGATCCCACCCGGGGCAGGCAGGTGTAGACACTGTTGTCCACTGGGTTCTCAGAGCTGTGACTCTTCTTTCAGGCTCCCCAAACCTGAGGACAAGGCCGCCCCCACGCAGAGAATCCAGCCTGGTATGTGGACTCTTCATTCCTTCTCTGGGGTGGCCCACAACACCCTTATTCGTTTGATGCCTTTGAAGCAGAGCCCAGGGCTTTGGGGGCCCTGTCGGATTTCCATCTTTGCAGGGCTGGGGACAGGGGCAGAAGCCTGCAGATCCCAGGCCTCCCTGGAGCATAGCCAGACAGTTTATAATCAGAAATGCACTGCACTCCAACGCTAAATAAATCCATCCCAGCCACTGCACTGGCAGACATAAACATTTACACTGGCCAGCAGGGTTGTCCAGTAGGGCATTGCCAGGGCCTAGGAATGAAGCTGCTGGCCACGATGGTCCAGAAACCTTACAGCTCTCTCAGGATTGCCCAGGGAATGTGGTGCTGGCCACGATGGTCCAGAAACCTTACAGCTCTCTCAGGATTGCCCAGGGAATGTGGTGCTGGCCACGATGGTCCAGAAACCTTACAGCTCTCTCAGGATTGCCCAGGGAATGTGGTGCTGGCCACGATGGTCCAGAAACCTTACAGCTCTCTCAGGATTGCCCAGGGAATGTGGTGCTGGCCACGATGGTCCAGAAACCTTACAGCTCTCTCAGGATTGCCCAGGGAATGTGGTGGGCTTGGAAGCCTAGAGCTTAAGGGTTAGACCAGTGCTTATCCTTCAGGAAGGAGAGGGAACCTCAAGACATGACCCATGGTGGTCCCCGACTCTTGAGTGGGTGGAGTTTCCCAGTGACCGCCATCTCAGACAGGGAGGTGTGTAAGCCAGAGCTTGGGGAGCAGCAACATTGGTGACAAATTGAGATTCCTGAACAATGACCTGTAATAGAGTGAGGGGTGAGGTGGGGGGGTGGAAAGGCAAGCTTCAGGGCTAGGGTGCAGCTCAGTAGCAGAGTGCTTGCTTAGCATGCACGAAGCTTTGGGGGTACGATCCTAGCGTCCCTAGAAGGAACAAAGAAAGACCCCTTGCAGGTCACCTCCCCCCCTAAAGTCCTCTAAGAACAGTACTGGCCACCCAGATCTGTCATGAGGATGGGATGTCAGGGTGTATATTTAAGACTGGCAGCCAGGCTTCCCTTTCCTGTGTGGACTCCTGGCTGCTGGGTGGCACTGTCTGGTACATGGGACAGGTCCCTAAATCACACCTGGCTGCGTGCTACTCCGTGGCATCTGCCCATCCATGGAAGTTGGAGGCCCTCTAGTCTTTTGAAGATGTGCCCTCCAGCCATTGGTCCCTCTGAAATTTCTCTCTCACTTTTCCTTGGGTTTTTGCAACTACTCAATGGATTCTCCATCTCTCCCTTCCCTTTGAGCCCCAGCTAATCATTTTCAGGCAGCTTGGCTTTGGCAAGAACAGTCATTCCTTCCACTCTTACAAAGGCAAGCTTGCTGAGGGAGGCTGGTTCCAGTTAGGCTTAGCTGAATCCCGTCCTGTCAGGGTGCAGGAGTGCTGAAGCATGGCTGGCTGTGCCAGTTTCCATGTGTGGCTGTACAGTGAGGCACCCCCTCCAATAAACCATCTTTCCCCCATCCCTCCCTCAGAGTGGCCCAAGACAGCTCAGCTTAGAACAGAAGACAGAGGTAGCTGAGCCTTAAACGGTAGAGACAGGGTTCCAGAGGTCTTGACGTCCATCTTTGTTCAGCTGTTCCTGCATCCCTCCTTCCTGGACTGGAAGCTATTACATCATGTCAGTAATTGTCTTGACAACCCCATTCCTAGCTCTGTTTAACGGAAGAGGAAACTGAGGCTCGGAGCGTCTTCTAGGGCCGCCTTCCCCACCACGGCTGCTCCCCCACTACACCCCCGCCTCCTGCCGTCCCAGCTGCTTTGTGTTAACCCCTTAGAATAAGGAAGAACAAAAATGAGGCAATGACGAGGACAACCAGACCGGGCAGAGTGCATCCTTGTGTGGTTACGATCTACCAGGCTGACTCTCCATGTGCCTCAGAGCAGCACAGAAAATGGCTGTTTTTAAAAAAACAAGAAAAGAAAAAGAACGTGGCTCATGAGCAAGTGTCCTAAGTGTCCTTAAATACCACTATGAGAAAAGTTGTGTGCTAGTGTCTAGAAGTCATATGGGCATTCTGGAATATTCTGCCTGCCTACTGAAACAGGACTGCATTCTGTTCAGGGCACCAACAGGCTAACCCCCTTCCCAAAGACCCCTTCCCCAACCAGCTGCCCCCTATACTCCTACCTCACTGTCCTGGGGACGCCTGGCCCCCTCACCCTCTTCTCCAGCAGCTGCCCACTTGGCTTAGGATCCATCCTTAGTCTTACAGAATGGCGGTTTCCCCGCTTTCTGTCTTTTCCTTCCCACCTTGGGGCCCAGCTATTGACACCTTTATAGTAAGCATCCCAAGAGCTCAAATTAGTGTTCTGTGGACCATGGGTGCCACCTGGGGAAGTCCTGATGGGTGAGTGACAGCTGCCTTCAAAGCCAGCTGCTACCCAGCTACAGTGGCAGCCACAAGCACCTGAGGGGCCAGTGGGCACCAGTCCCTGGCCTTAGGAAAGCTCTGATTAGCTCTATTTGCTCACTGATTGTTTCTGCTTTAGGGGTTCCAGCTGCCAAAACCACCAGAGCCCCCTTCTGTTGAGGTGGAGTACTACACCATTGCCGAATTCCAGTCTTGCATTTCTGACGGCATCAGCTTCCGGGGTGGACAGAAGGCTGAGGTGAGCCTCATCTGGGCCAAGGATATGCTTCATATTTTATTGTACGTCTTCTTGGCAAGGTTTCTGAGGGTCAGGCAGGGCGGGTACAGAAATGAGCCTGTGGCCATGAGTACTACTCGCCTAGCCGCGGCCCAACCAGGACTAGAGGCCAAGACTTGGGATTCTGCTGCATGCTTGGTTACAGAGCTTTCCCACAGTGGCATGTCTCAAAACATGCAGGGCTGGACACAAGGAGCCTCAAAGCGATGTGCTGCGGAAGGTGTGTGAACTTCCGGGACAGAACAGTTTGCTTCATCGGAATGTTTTATTTCGGAGGACAGTGTCACACACACACACACACACACACACACGCGCGCGCACAGAGATCAGAGGACAATACTGTGTACTGACCCAAGAAGTCCTAATGAGACTTTGTTGAGGCTTTTGTGGACACTGGGAGGACATTCTGACATTCTGCAGGGAGGATCTGATCTCAGGCCTGATTTATGCGTCTTCCCGTTCTCACCTGAGAGACCCTTTCAAAGGGTCCTGGGCATGAGTGGAGGATGGGAACAGTGGAACACTGGTTATTTATGTCTGCCTGTCCTTCGCGAGCTGGTTTTTATAGGGTCAGGAACAATGTGGTGGATTTGAGGGTGCTGTGGAGCTATTGGCACAGACTTAGGGAGCCTCACAGCCAGGTTTGCACGCCACCTGCCACTTGCTGCCATAGGTCTTGGAGCCACTTATTCAAGGGCTGTAGCTATAAAATAGGCCAAGTGGGACATTGTAGGGACCGAGAGACCCCTGCCACTCACTGGTCTGTCCCTCTTCCCTCAGGTCATAGATAAGAACTCAGGTGGCTGGTGGTACGTGCAGATTGGGGAGAAGGAAGGCTGGGCCCCCGCCTCATACATCGATAAGCGCAAGAAGCCCAGCCTGAGCCGCCGAACCAGTACTCTGACCCGGCCCAAGGTGCCCCCACCCGCACCCCCCAGCAAGCCTAAGGAGGCTGAGGAAAGCCCTGGGGGTGCCTGTGAGAGCCAGGACTCCCCACTGAGGCTTAAGTATGAGGAACCTGAGTATGACATCCCTGCCTTCGGCTCCGACTCGGAGCCTGAGCTGAGTGAAGAGCCCGCGGAAGACAGGGGTTCAGGCGACAGGCGACCTGTCCAGCCCCGGAGGCCCTCACCCGCCTCCTCCCTGCAGCGGGCCCGCTTCAAGGTGGGCGAATCTTCCGAGGACGTGGCCCTGGAAGAGGAGACCATCTATGAGAACGAGGGCTTCAGGCCCTACACAGAAGACGCACTGTCTTCCAGAGGCTCCTCTGGGGACAGTGACTCCCCTGGAAGCTCCTCGCTGTCCCTTGCCATGAAAAATTCCCCCAAATCAGGGTCTCCCAAATCATCATCACTCCTAAAGCTCAAGGCAGAGAAGAATGCCCAGGCAGAACTGGGGAAAAACCAGTCCAACATCTCCTTCTCCTCCTCCATCACGATCAACACCGCCTGTTCCTCTTCCTCCTCCTCCTCCTCCTCCTTGTCCAAGAACAGTGGTGACACAAAGCCACGCTCTGCCTCAGATGCAGGCATCCGCGGCACCCCCAAGGTCGGGACCAAGAAAGACGCCGATGTGAAGGTCGGGCTGACCTCCTGCACCCGAGCCAAGCCGTCGGTCCGACCAAAGCCAGTCCTGAACCGAGCCGAGTCTCAGAGCCAGGAAAAGATGGACATTCGCTCCTTACGGCGCCAGCTGAGGCCCACAGGTCAGCTGCGGGGGGGCCTCAAGGGTTCTAGGAGTGAGGACTCAGAGCTGCCCCCCCAGACAGCCTCTGAGGGGTCCAGGAGAGGCTCTGCTGATGTCACTCCGCTCCCAGCCACCACACCCCCGTGTGTTCCCAGGAAGGAACGGGAAGGGCAAGGCACCTCCTATGTGACGTGCAGTGCCTATCAGAAGGTCCAAGACTCCGAGATCAGCTTCCCTGCGGGCGTTGAGGTGCACGTGCTGGAGAGGGCGGAAAGCGGATGGTGGTATGTGAGGTTTGGGGAGCTGGAGGGCTGGGCTCCTTCCCACTATTTGGTGCTGGAGGAGACCCAGCAATCTGACACCGCTGGCAAAGAGCCAGACACAGAGAAGAGCACTCACAGTGAGGGCAAGTCGGACAGTCTGGAAAAGATCGAGAAACGGGTCCAAGCGCTCAACACCATGAACCAGAGCAAGAGGGTAACCCCGCCCATCCCCTCGAAGCCCCCTGGGGGTTTCGGCAAGACCTCCTCGGGCCCCGTGGCGGTGAAGATGAGGAACGGTGTGCGGCAGGTGGCTGTCAGGCCACAGTCTGTGTTTGTATCTCCACCACCCAAGGACAACAACCTGTCCTGTGCCCTGCGGAGGAATGAGTCGCTGACGACCACTGACGGCCTCAGAGGTGTGCGCCGGAACTCCTCCTTTAGTACTGCCCGGTCGGCAGCTGCCGAGGCCAAGGGCCGCTTGGCAGAGCGGGCTGCCAGCCAGGGCTCAGAGTCCCCCCTGCTGCCTACCCAACACAACGGCATCCCCGTCTCCCCCGTGCGTCCGAAGCCCATTGAGAAGTCTCAGTTCATCCACAATAACCTCAAAGATGTGTACATCTCTATTGCGGACTATGAGGGGGATGAGGAGACAGCTGGCTTCCAAGAGGGGGTGTCCATGGAGGTGCTGGAGAGGAACCCCAATGGCTGGTGGTACTGCCAGATCCTGGATGAGGTGAAGCCCTTCAAGGGCTGGGTACCCTCCAACTACCTTGAGAAGAAGAACTAGCAGCGCTGGGTCCTCCCAGACTCAGTGCGCTGCTCTGGCTGCCACCGGATGGATGGTGGCATGCGGACACGGGAAGAACAATGGGGGGGAGGGGATGACCACGTTGACCCCCGAAGACGCCCTCCAGCTGGAAAGGAGGGTGCGATGGGTGCACACACTTAGTAGGAGAAAGGGAAGAGCCGGGATTTCCTGTGCCCGGAACCCCTGCACACACACTGGTGACTTTGCTGCTGGGCCATTTGCCATTTCATACAGGCCATGTGCCTTTGCTGCAGACCTGGAAAAGACGTCACCAGGTGTGTCCAGGGTCCCGCCCCAGCCCAGCCACTTCAGTGGCTGGGTTCTTGCCTCTGGAAGTCACCCTTGTGTTACCTAATGATGCGTTTGGCATCGGATTGGTTTCTAGTCCACTACCCACCACTGGTGGGTGTCTGGTAGACCACCAGCTCTGGGCCTTGGCGGTGTCTCCTAAGAGCTCGGTACTTTCTAGGGCCAGGCCACAGCCTGTTTGGTAGTTAAGAGTTCCCAGATGCCAACAAGGGCTGCCTGCCCATGCTGGCCTGGCCTTGCAAAGAGAGCCTACCGTCCTTAGGGCACATGGGGGACACTGGGAGTTGACCTAGAGGATGGGTGGTGCCAGGCTTCTAATAATTGCTAGAGGTTTTCCGGGTAGGCAGTTCCTTCTGCATGTTTGGGAAGGGGTATTGGTTCAGAGGTTATAAATCAGGCGTTTGGTTTGGGGTTTATTTTAGAAGTTGTTTGGGGGCCCAAAGGGCTCAGCGTCACATAGGAGAGGGAGTAGTGGTGGGTGGGGTTTTTTGTTGATTTCCATGGAGGGATGTTTTATTTAGATTTTGGTTTAATGTTTTTGCCTTTCCATAAGCCAAGTTGTTTGTTTAGTTTTGCGCTGTGTAAACAGTGCCCTAGCATGGCATCTCACCAGGGAATTTGGGACTGGGTAAAGCCAGGTGCTGGGCTCAGTGAAGCAGTGTTGAGGTATCCTGCCCAAGAGGGAAGGGGGCATCATTAGAAGCCATGCTGATGGGTGACCTCTCTGCCTGCTTCTGCCACGTTCCCCAATCTGGGCAGGACCCCAAGAAAAAGCCTTACTGTGGAGAAGTCACCACCAACCCTGGGCAGAAGGGACCCTGGCTGGGTCAGCCTGGAGCAGACACCCTCCACTGTGCCCCTTAGCCTGCGGGCAATGTGACAGGTGCCCAAGAAGAGGAGGACTTCGAAACCAGGAACCAACCCTGTCTTCCCAAGGGGCAGTGCCCCAGGGAACAGAATCACAAGAATGGAGTTCGCTGCCGTCCTCTGAGTTTTGGGTTGTGATTAAATGATTGACATTTCAGAGGGGACCCTCCAGAGAGAAGCCCAGTGGGCTTCCTCCAAGGACTCCCCTCATGCTGGGAGTGGATTCCACATGTGCCTTTGATTTGGGACAGATCCTGCCTCACAGTCTCTGGCTGAGCTGCCAGCATCCTCCCCACCCCCCTCCCCAGCTGCTAGTCCTGACAGACTGGGCAGGAAGAGCTCTCACCCCCGCCCCCTCCCAGGCAGGTCTGCCTTCAGCTCCCAGCCCTAACGTCCTGGATTCCCAAGCCCATGTCCCTAACATGCGGATGCAAACTGCGAGCCTCCTTTGTCAAAAGCCCGTGGTGACATTGTTCTCTTTCCTCTTCTGTGTTCATGAGTTTGTTTAAAATTGAAATTAGTTATTTTCTTCTGCTGGACAGTATTAAATAGAGCGGGATGTTGAGTTAATCCGCTAGGTTGCAGTACTAATGGTAGTGGTTTAGTGTCTTCATGATATTATTTGTACTTATTTGAACAATAATGATTAAGAAGTGGTTCATTATTTCTTAATTAATGCACTTTAAATAAGGTGAAAGGGAAAGGAAACCCGGAGAGCAAAGTGCATTACTTAAAGATGCAGTATATACTCTTCTCATTTTAAATCAGCACATATTTATTAAAAGAAGAAAAAAGTAATTTATGACTATTTAAAATAAGATTTAAAAGTAGAGTGACTGTCAGGTGAGCGGACCTTCCACATAGCTGTCTGCCAGAGGGATGGCCCTTGGCCTTACTCCTCAGATGTCTGCACTGAGCCAGCTCCGTGATTAGTGCACCAGCCAGGCACAGAGCATCTCAGTTGGACTGGACCACCGAGATCCCCAGAGCCTGCCTTCCCCCCCTTCCCTGCCCGATTCTGCACTCACACCTCTGTCTGCACCCCAAAGACCCTCTCCCAACTTCCTATATCCTGAAATCATAGACTCTTGAAAAGCGGGACTGGAAGGGACCTCAGTGGCCACTCCATTCCATCCCCTTCTAGATCCTTCACCCAAGATCAGGAAATGACTTTCTGCAAATCTGCCAGTTAATATCAGGTTTCCCCACCACACTTAATCCTGCCTTCCTCTCCTGTCCCTTTAGTTTATCGTGTGGTCATTGTGTTTACATATTAACATCCAGCCCCAGGGATGGCTGGGAGTTGCTCAGGCATCTGGGAAAAGTGGGGAATGTTGCCACCTAGTGTCAGTATGTAGGCTTGGTCAACAAATAGTGATAGCCAAGGTCCCTCACCACCAACCCATTAGGGCACAGCACAAACCCTGCAAGCCTAAAGAATACTTGAAACAAGAAGGGTGCATGCCAGGCCTTCTCAGACGTGGCCAGGGGATACCAGGCTTTGTGTCCCTGGATCCTAGCCCTACCCAGGCAAGAGGGCCTTTCCCTAGAGCTAAAAGAGCTGCTTTGTGACATTGGACGGACTGTGGCAGCCGTGGAGGAGGGAAGGGCCTGGGGCTCTGACCCATCTGGAGGAAAACCAGATTGGACTAAAGGAAAAAAAAAAGGAATCTCAGCAATGTCCAAACGTAGCTTTCCATTAGTGATGATTGAAAATGTGAAATGACATTGTATTGCTGTATACTGCAACTTTAATCATAGTGAGCCCTTCTGAGGTCATTATTGCGGTTTATATAATGCCCGAAGATGCATCGTTCGGTGCTTTGTTTCATTTCAGTTTAAAGACCCTTCTGTTACAAGGGCGGAGGGAAGTTTTCAACCTTATCCTTCTTTGTCACTAGTAGGCCTGGCTACACTGCCTGGCTCCTCTGTGTTCTCACAGTGGGGCAACAAGAGGGAGCTGGGGTGGGAGGTTCCAGCAGCAGCAGGTTCCTGTCTGCCTTGGGGTCCCCTTTACAGCCCGGGTCCTATTTGCAAGACCTCAACCCTTCCACCCCTAGCCTGGCCCCCAGGGTTCCTCTTTCTCACTCCTGAATGGACGAAGGCATTATATAGAATCATTGTAGTCACTTTGAGATATTAGAGCGGCGTATTTTACTGGCATTTATATCCATCGCTTTTCCTCAGCAAGGCATGTTACTACTCTTATCCTCTAAGGAAAAAAGACAAGGGAATTTCAGCCAAACATTATTTTCATATGACTAGTACTTACAGAGTAGGTGTAGAGCTATTTAAGTTGTAGTGTTCTGTTTTTAGGGGGTGGGGCAGGTGAAATCGTGCCTGCTCTTCCTGGGTTTGACTAATATATAATTTCTTTAAGGTTACTCACTTCCCCTATTTCCTCCAAGTACTTTGCATTCTCAATGGAAAATGAAAGCAATCTGAGACAGAAAAAGTGCAATATTTCCAAGAGGGGTGTGGGACAGTGGCGGGAGACCCCGTTGAATCTGCAGAAATGGGAGGGCCTACTGGGGGAGTCAGTACTGTGGAGCACACGGGTTTGGCCTCCAGGCAGGCAGGCTGACTGTCTCCTCCCCACTTCCCTGGCATGAAGGCAAGGGTAGCCACCAGAGGACAGCCCGCCTGTGTCCACCTAGAAGGGAGGGGTCTGGGGAAGTGGCATGGTGCTCTTAGCCTCTTGAGCCCAGGACAGAGTGAGGACAGTTGAGACCCACTTCTGTTTTCGTTCCCGTTTGCAGCCAGTTGCTCAGAGAGACCCGTCCCAGAAGCGGTTCCCAGCAGCCCAGTCACCCCAGCCTCCTGATGTGTGGGCTACAGTGCTTAGGATGTGTGTTTGAGTCTTTCTAAAACTATGGAACCTCAGTTCAGCTACGGACAGGAACCCTGGCTGTAAGCAAACTAATTTGGAGGGCGGGTGCTTTAAGCCCTTCGTGCCCAGCAAGACCCGATTCCAGCAGGCCCACAGTAGGCCTGGGGCTGAGTCCCGGCCACCTGTTCATCTCAGCGACTTGGGCAAAGGGCATGAGCCCTGCTTCGGACAGAAACCCCACGACAGGGACATACCTGCCTCCTTCCACATGTTGCAAGGTGTCTTCTGGGGGGTTGGGAGTGAGTCCCAGAGCTCAGCGCCCCCAGGATAGCAAGCACAACCTTGCTGGTGTGTTCCTTCTAAGCAGTACTGTAGGCCTGCTGCCCCAACCCACCTTTGTGTGAATCCTATACAGATAGGGGAAGGGACCAGGCCCTTCTAGGGTCGCTCCCTTAGAACAGATATGGCTGCATAGCTGACCATTTGAGTATCTGAACAACTTTCTGGAAAGACAGCAGTCCACATCACTAACCAGTTAAGATCCCCTCACTTTTTTGAGGGCAGAGAGAGCAGTGTGTGTGTGTGTGTGTGTGTGTGTGTGTGTGTGTGTGTGTGTGTGTGTGGTGGTAATCTCCAAGTGTGGGTATTACACGAGTGTGTGTGAGAGACACTGGTGGTAATTTCCCACTTGAACTAAATAGCCTGGGGTTAGAGGAAACAAATGCAGGGCAGGCGGCCTCCACTGAACTAGTCCTTGGCATTGGGCAGGTCCCAAGGGACTCAGAGCTTCTGACAGCAAGTATGTGTGTCATTCACGCGATTCTGGCTGGAGAGTGCAATGTGTCTTTTAAATTTGTTTTTGTAAGTATTTTATTATTTAGTTGGAAACTTCACACTGGCATTAGCATATCTAACAGAAGCAGCCTAGGTCAGCATCCGGGCACCACGATGAAAGACATGGAATAGATACTGTTGAGTATGGAGATCCTGAGGTGGTTAAACAGCGCACCCTGTCCTTGGTGTGAGAACCCCCAGGGGGTCCAAGAGCTGCTGGCCTTTGGTATGGTTCCCAGAGAGGCAGGCTGGACGGGGAGCGGACTCTCCGTGGTGTGACTGTAGGACCTGCAGGTGTCCACACAGCAGTGACTCCCGTCTCCACTGCAGGCCTAGAGTGTTTCCTGGGAGCGTGGAGGGCTCCTCGGGACCTGAGTTTGTTTAAATCCCATTTGGGGCAGTCTCATGTCCCTGTGTTTCCCAAACACTATTATCAGAGCCAGTGATGGGACAAGGTCGTGACCGTTGGCCTTAGCACTGCTTTTGACTACTGCTTAGTTCTGTGTGTCTGGGCCCCCGGGCCACAAACTGGGCACACTGATGCTCGTAGGTTGAAATGGAAGGGCTTCCCAACCTGGCCGCAAGGGATTGGCATGTGACACCCCCTCTTCCACTATCCTGTCTAAATCTCAAGTGACCTGGACAGGACCCCTCCCCCATCGCAGTCTAGGACTTAGTGGCCTTAGAATGGGGTCCCTGGTGCTGAAGGTTCCTACCTTGCTCCAAATCTCATTCTGGACAATGGGCTGCGTCCTTGGAAGTGTGAGAGGATTGTGTTAGTGCAAAAGGATGTATCTAGCATGTTGGCAAGCCAGTGGGAGGCACGTTGGCAGGACGAGTACGCAAGTTTGAGGTTACTGGGGCTTATTATGGTCCCTGCACTGGGAGGAGTCTCCCAGAAGCCTTAGGCAGAGAAGGTGTGGGAAAGCTAAAGGAGGGTTTGGAGTTGTACTGTCTTTATTGGTGGGAGAAGGAAGGAGTCAGTGACCAGGTTTACAGGGATTTTGTTACTCACCAGCCATGAGTCCAGCCAGAGAAAACTCACTTGCTGGGCCCCATCCGGGCTGCCATTTTCATTGATGTCTTGGGGAAGAGACACTGTAAGCCGGAAGCCAGTGTTTGGGTTTGGAGGCCCTTTTCCAGAAAGACCTAAATCATCTCCCAGATTCCCGGTAGTTTATGCCCAATGCATTTTGTCCAATACAGAGCTGGCCAGCCTATCATCTGTACATATGAGAGGCCATTGACCATAACAGGCCACACAGTAGGACCCAGTATCCCCATACTAGAACTTAAGAGCCCAGACCTAGACAGGAGGCAGGTGGCCTCATTTCTTGGTGACAGAGGACATCATTCCCAAGGCTCTAGTAGAAGCTATGGTTCTAACTGTGAGTTTACCTCCTGCTGCCATCAGACCAGGAGGAACACACCAACATCCCTGCATATGCTTTCTGTTTTCTAGTGGCTTCTACTGAGGCACACTGAGTTTACTCCAAAGGGTACACAGATAACCATTCTTAAATTTACAACATGTCCCCTGCAACAGAGGGCATGGGTGTCCCTACAGTTACTGAGAGGTCTGGGAGGTGACTTGTAAGGCAGATGGGAGGGGCCACTCTTGCAGCATGGCTATGTGGACTCTGGTGGGAGCAAGCAGACGGATGTCACTGGGTGGGACACCTCAATCACAGGGACTTCTCGTAGTGTCCACTCATCCCCAGCCAGCTTAGTGGGGTCAGCAGAAGCCCTTCCCCCGGGTTCTTCCTCGCCACCTCAGCAGAAAAACAAGGCCGTTGGATGCAGTTGGGGTCCATGCAAGTGCTGACATATCTCCAGGATCCTCGGTGGTGCTAAACTATTTCCATGTTTCTCACAATTCTAACAGTGGGTTGTTTTTATAAGTCTCATCCCAAACATGCAGTGTCCTTGGGGGAGGGGCGAAGCCCTCCCCCCAGACCTGCCACTTTCCAGGTGTCCTTTATTACTTTGAAGGGATTCTTTGGTCTGTAGGAATGACCTGTCTTGGGATGCTTCTAGACTTTAACATTTGGGTTGTTTTGTTTAATATTTTGTTTATGTTTACATGCATCTTGTATTTCCCTAAAAACTAAATAAAGTTTTTGGCCTTTTTAACCAAACAGAATCAAGTGATTCTCTCTAGTACCAGAGGACCCATTTGGTTTAATAGCAAAAGTCCCCCCTGCCCAAACGGCAGCTGACTCCAGAATCGGGGAGGGAGATTGGCTCGCACAAGCTCCTCCAGCCCCTTCCCACCAGCAGCCACCTTTTGGGGAGTAGCCAGAGCTGGGCTCCAGTCCTTACCTGGGTGTGTGGGTCTCTAGTACGCAGGGGGAAAATGCACCTGAGGCCGGCTCACAGGCAGACTTGTCCCTGCTGAAAGCCCCCTTCCAGGAGAGGGTGTAAGCAGGAATCCCACAAGTCTCTGGGGCCTGGCCCTGACCATGTGTGCAGCTCTGACACTGTCTAGACCCCTGGGCCCAGTTTACCTACCTCTTCCCCACCCCAGCCACAGGGTTGGCACGTCATTCCCGTTAGTCTCTAGGTGGCAAATGTGCCTCACAGGATCTCCGGCCTGAGAGGAAGACAGCATAGTACACCTGTGGTTTCCCTTGGTGGCCTACCCAAAGTTCCAAGGCCACCAGAAGGGTGGCTGCCTCTCTCAACTCAAAAGGCTTGCCTAGTATTAAGGGCCCACTGTCTGAACCCCATACCACGCTCCAAAGCCTGACTCTAAGAAAGTTTCTTCATAGACACAGGAGTCTACAATTAGGGAGAGACTGGGGCTGTTCCTGGTAGCCCCTAACCACTCAGGTGTGCTCACACACTGGTCCACCTCCCAACTTCCAGACACACAGCACAGCCCTCAGGCTGGTACGAAATCGCCTTTATTCACAAACACAGTGACCCAGTTCACGAAGGAGGCAGAACTACCTCCGTGTTAGCAGAATGGATGATGGCTTCTTTTCCCACCTCCAGCCATACAGCTCTGCGCTCTGGACTTTCTCCATCCCTAGGATGAGCCCCCAGTTAGATGGGTCAATTTACCGGCTCCAGCCTGCTCTCACAGAAAGGGTCTACGAGGTCCAGTGACTGAAGAGGCGAGACCCAGGGTGGCGCAGATTCCCTGGGTCTCTGCAAGGCCAGTGCAGGCAAATGCCTACCCTGGTACCCCATTCTCAATGCCTCTCCAGTAAGGCCCCCTAAGAGATACCCCAAAAGAACTCTCAGGAATCACATTGAGAGTGCTCCACCCCCAAACCTGTACACAGGGGAAGCTGAGGTTTGGAGGGTGACCTCTGGCCAGGGCCACAGGATGGGCCAGGGGCCAGGACAGAGCCCCAGTCCCTGCCTGCCAAAGCAGAAGCCATCGCTGAGGGTGTAAAACCAGTCTTCTGAGGGCCGATGGCTGAGGGACTGGGAGGGTCTAGCCTAAGACTCCACAGTAACCCAGGACAGGCAGGGAGGGCTGTAGAGGCGACCCTCCTCCCTTAGCAGACCAGGAGCCTGCCTTCAGGATTCATCCTCCTCCTCCTAACTTGGGAGGGTCTCCATTCTGGTCCCTGACCCACACATCCATAATCTTCCCCAACCTTGCAGAACTTTTGATGTCTTGACAGAGGTGGACTCCTGGAGTACAACCTTGAACCAACCACACTAACTTAGCCCCCCGCCCCAGGGAGGAAGGGCACAGGTGGACGCCAGTGGGTCCCCATCCAAGAGAGGCCCGTCCCCCTCGTGGGAGGCCTCCAGCCTGGAGTTCCACCTAGGGGTTAGCAGGACTGCCTGTGAGCCTTGTGTCTGGGCCTGCAGAAGATTCTGAGTGGCTACCCTACCGCCCCTCACCTGGCAACCCCCCAACAGTAGAATTTTAGGAGCTCCCGGGTTGGAATTAACCCACAAACAAAACTCACAAACCAAATAAATAAATAAATAAAAATGAGGAAAAGGGCTGTCCATAGCCCAGGAGACCCCCCCCACCCTACTGAGGGCCCCTGTTCCTCCTGGGCACACAATGCAAGATCAGCCCAGGCCGGCACTGAGATGAGGGAGGACAGGCCTTAGGGGTGGTTGTGGACCTGCTCTTTGGGACCCTGACAACAGAAAGGCCCACCTCAGCCTATCCTGAAGGGCACCCTAGGCAGCGGCACCGGTGAGATGATTGGTGCAAATTATGGCAAGGAGAGGCCCTGAACACGGTAGGTCAGCCCAAGGTCAAGGTCAAGGACCTGGAGTCTTGTACGGCCTGTCTGTTTCCCCACTCTGGGTAAGGAGAGAGACAGGACATACAGTCTGTAGCTGCCCAGGGTGGGAGGAGTCCACTGGCCTCCCAAGCTGCCCAGGGAAGGCTACATGTTCGCTCTCTCCAAGGCACCACACGGGCTGCACAACTTTAGAAATCTGCCTAGACAGTGAGGGGGCAACAGGCTGAGACTCCGCTTCGGCCCCCTGCAGAACCCGGGTAGAGAGGGAGACTGCGGGGGTAGCCTTCTCCCCTCCCCTCCACTCATTAGGTGCTATCTGTGCCCTCACCTCCCTGCCTCAGACCCTGTCAGCCCAAACCTTCAGGGACCTTGGTTTCCCATGTTTAATGGAAAAAGAGGAAGAGTTTTCAAAACGTGGAAGAGAAGGGACCCTGTTGGCTTCGCCCTTAGCTGGTGCTGGGCTGGAGTCTGCGGAAGTGCTGGGGGGTGCAGGTGGGCTCCGCAGTGGGCTAGGAACTGCGGTAGGTCTTGATGATGTCCTTGATGGGGCGACGGCAGATGGGGCAGCAGGCGTGCAGGGCCTTCTTGAGGCGCAGGCCGCAGGAATAGCAGAGGCACATGTGACCACACGTGTAGATGACTGTGTCCACCGCGTGTTCGTAGCAAATGGTGCACTCATCACTCCACTGGCCCATACCTGGGGTCACTGGCGACTCGGGCAGGCTCACGGGTGAGTTGGGGGCTGTCCCTGAGAGCAAAAGCATCCATCAAAATGGGATGTGACCCAGCCCGGCCCAGGCCCTATGAGAAAGGGCTCCGGGGCTCATGTCTTCCTGCAGGATGGAGAGCCACCTGTAGACACTGACAACCCACCTTCCTGCCCAAGGACGAAACAGCTCCAGCAGCCCAGCTCTGGCCGCACAGCCCCAGATCAGGACCAGAGGGGCAGTGACAGAAAAGGGGAAAAAGAGAACCTCCCAAGTCTTTTAAGGCATGGCCCTCCTGCACTAACTGTGTGCATTTTCAGAAGTCCCCTGGAGGACCAGGCTCCGTGGCTCCTACACTCACATACCACATGCAACAACCCACCACCACTACACATGCACACACAAAATTTAAAATAAGTCTTAAAAAAGATGTAAAAAAAAGAGTCACAGTGACACGTCTGTGGTGGTTTGAACAGGCGTGGTTCCCATAGCCTCGTGTGTCAATGCTTGGTCCATAGGGAGTGGCACTATTAGGAGGTGTTGCCTTGTTGGAGGAAGTGTGTCACTGCGGATGTGGGCCTCGAGGTCTTATAACCTCAAGTCAGGCCAGTGTGACAGTTTTTCCTTCTGCTCCCTACAGATCAAAACGTAGGTAGGATTCTCAGCTCCTTCTCCACACCATGTCTGCCTGCAGGCTGCCATGCCCACCACAGCGATGATGATGGACTAAACCTTTGACATTTAAAGCCTGTCCAGGTGTCTCTTAACAGCAATAGAAACCCTAGCTCAGACATCTGAAGAGATGAGGCAGCAGTTAAGAGGGTTTGCTGATCTTCCAGAGGACCTGTGACTCTCTGCACCCTCGTCAGCTAGCTCGAAGCAGCCTGCTGCCTGTAACTCCAGTTCTGGGGGCATCCAGTATGTCTTCTTACCTCAGTAGGCACTGCAGGCACACACACACACACACACACACACCACACACACACACACACTCAAAATAAAAGGTAATTGAAAGTAACTTAAGTCCCCTGGTGAGAGCTGCCCGTCCCAGCCCTGACAAAGGCTGTGCTCTCCCTCTCTGAATGTGTAAGGAGGGAAGCATCGACCCAACCACAGGACCTCGGTACTCACCGCCCGCAGAGCCACCCAGAGGCCCAGAACTGCAGGTGCTGGGCAGGGGGTCAGAGAGGCGGCTGCCCAGGGCACTGGGCGAGGTTGGAGTGGAGGCAGGTGAGCAAGAGAGAGATGGGCCTCCCCGTTCAGCCATGATGGTGGAGCCTGAGAAAGGGGGATGGGCCAGAGTACCATTAGCTTAATGGAGAAAGCTTCAGTCCCCACCCCCACAGAGGGCTCCCACGCCTGCCCATAGGACAGCTGCAGGCTCGGGGCAGGACCCCATAGGCTGGCTCAACTCCGCCCTGGCTGTGTCCTCACCAATAGATCTGAAGGTGGCAGACCTCACCCACAATTCCCAATCCAAATTCTGCCTAGTGTGGTAGCCCCTGCCACTCCTCCTAGGTGCCTTTGGCCTTCAGAGAATAAAGTCCCTGTCCCTGTCCCTGCCTCTTCTGCCTCCTGTCAGAGTCCTGCTCTCCCTACCACAGTGTCTAGGAACCACCCATTTTCTCTATACCGCCACCCTGGTCCTACAACCTTCCTTCCCTCTCTGCCATCCTTCTAAGGTCCTTCCCAGATGCACAGATGACCCTGGAGACACAGCCTTGGGGAGCCTCTTGAGGCTGTCCTCAAACCTCAGTCCCTGGGCAGCCATGGCTACCCTAAACACAACCTCATGGTCATTGACTAGCCATACCCAGCCACACAGCCTGAAGTCCTGCCGTTTTTGCCTGAGAATTCAGCTCCATTCTCTAGCAGAACCATGAGCTCGCTAAGAACAAGAAGTCTCACTGCCTGTGATTCCCACAGGCCCTAAAGAATGTTCTGTGCACAGCAGGTGCACTGTTTCTGTAACTCCCTTAATAGCGCTATTGTTTCTAAGACTGATGAGTGGATGTTCCTAGGGGGGGTCTCTTCCCGCTCCTTTCTCCCTTCTCTCCTCACGCTAGAGACTGAACCTAGGGCTTCACTCATGTTAGGAAAGCATTCTACCGTTGACCAATGTCCCAATGCCCTTACCTAGCTTTTTATTTTAAAATAGGCTCTCACTATGTGGCCTGGGCTGGCCTTGGACTTGCTGGGCAGACCTGGCAAACCTCGAACATCTGGGCCTCCTGCCTTAGCCTCTCAAATAGCTGGGGTCAGAGACCCAGCTCATACAGTTTCTCTTACTACATTAGTTATTTTAAATGATCATCTCTTTTCAGAAATGCATACCTATTTACTTTTCCTGCCCTACTGCATTGGCTAGCATTTTCAGAACAATGTCTAGAAAGCAACCCTGATACAGTTGTCGTCAGTGAAAATAGTTTTGATCCACCAGTGAACATAAAGAAAGCTGTAGTTTGTGTGCATGTGGATAAAGGAAACAGCCCCGAGTTATCAGCTTACGGGGGACTTCCACTAAGCCAAGCATTTGCTGTAAGGGGAACGATTCCTCTTCATATGCTGCTACTGGCTTTGTTTTTCCTTTGGGAGTCAGTCAGGATTCCCCAGCAACACTCTGCCGGCTGACATGCCCAATTCTCCAAACAGCTCAGGAACTATGAATAGACACTGGGTTCTGGGTAGCATTTCCTGACATCCACCTTGACCCACTTACCACCTGGGACAGAAAGGGTCCTGAGTTCTGTTTTAATTCCCTTTTGTCCCAGTCTCATAAGCCCCTTCCGATGACAGACCTCTACTGGAAAACGACTTAGCTGTTACTAGGTGATGTTGATGCAAGAGTGTACCTTGCCTCTGTGTGCTTTCCTGTAGTACAATTAATAAAACCCAGAGACAGATGTTGGGGTTCAAGATGAAGAACAGAGAGGCAAAGCAGACAGCCAGTAGCTCTCACCTCCACCAAGGCTGAAATGGAGATCCCGTCTTCCCTGTGACTGGAAACTGAATCTCCCGAGAGACCCTTTGCTTCTTCCTTATAGACCTCTCTAGTGCTGGGATTAAAGTTGGGAGCTCTGTTTCTCTTTTAGACTGATTCACGATAGTGTGGCTCAGCATTGTCTTGGACTCACAGAGATCCATCTGCCTCTGTCTCCTGAGTCCTGGGATTAAAGGTGTGCACCACCACTGCCTGGATTCTATGGCTGTGGCTAGCTTTGCATTCTGATCCCCAGGCAAGCTTTATTAAATCATAGACAGTATATCACCACACTTTCCATTCCCTGAGAAGCCGTTAGTGGAGCCAATTATCTCTCACCTCGGCTCAGATTGTGTGTGTCTGGGTATGTGCGCACGCGCGGTTCCCAATCCAATTTCATTTTAATAAATGAATTCTCACTCTGGACTGATTCCTCCTGCTTCCTGGTTGATTGTGTTCCGTCTAACCCGGTTTCATCTCCGCCCTTCCTGATTTATCTTTCTTCAGCTCTAACTCCTTGGCACTCTGGCCTCTTTCCTTTGCATAGCTTTTCTATCTGTTTCTCAGCATCCCTTCCTTTGGTCTCTGCAAGAGCTGCAATTCTGCACTGATTTTGTCTCATTTCACAAACTCTCCAGTCACAGTCTGAACAGCACCACGTAAACACAAGCCCTGGGCTACGCCGCCCCTCACAGAAGGCTGAGCTTGGAAAGCAGCTGAGGCATGCACATCTGCACACACTACCAGCCCTATCAAGCTGCCTGGGTTGAGCCATGGGGTTGAGAGGCCCAGAGCTCTCCAACCTTGGCTAAAGATACGTTAAATGAAAATATAAATCAGCTGGGCATGGTGGTGCACACCTTTAATACTAATCCTCAGGAGGCAGAGTTGGATCTCTGTGAGTTTAAAGCCAACCAAGTCTACAGGACAGTCAGGGCTATGTCGTGACCCTGTCTCAAAAACAACACCACCAAAATCAGACACACAGACTTAGGATCCCTGGAGGGAGGATTCAAAGATCTGCACTTTACAGTGAGGTTAGTGAGAGATATCTGGGTGTGGGTGACACCATCCAAAGGGCTGGTTCCCCACCATGAACAGCAGGAAGAGAAATGGCGCTGACAGCAGATGGACGCCATGTGACCGCCCTCACAATCCCCCCATTCCTCCCCCACTATGACAGGCTGCTCCCTCAACCATGAGCCAAATCAAACTCATCTTCCCCTGGGTTGCCTTCTTGTCAGGCACCTGGTCACAGTAAGGGACACATCCCTCAGAACAAGCCAGAGAATACGGCTTAACACAAGCCACATCCTTTCAAACTGCCTCTTCTAAACAGTCTGCGTGCTGCAACCTCATGCCCGAAGGCTACCTGCTCCCGGATTCCCCTACTCTGACATAGGTGTTGCCCTAGAAGACACCAACTTTTCTGGTGCTGTTTTTCTGTTTTTAAGACAGTTTGCTAAAATCTCTGGTTGAGCTGACACTCAAATATGCTAACTCAAGTTAGCCTCGAATTTGCAGAGATTCTCCTACCTCTGCCTCCTAAATGCTGGGGTTGGAGGCAAGGACCACCACAACCAGCCAACCTGATTTTCATTAAGACTCAACAGCAGCCCGGAGGAAACTAAGTCTCAATTCACTGCTGGTAGAAACTCCCTTCCCCGATTTTTCACTGAGGCGTTTGGATCTGGCCAGGTTGCCTGTCTGTTGAGATGTGAGTTGATCTCTTTCCCAGCCATCGGTGGACCAGCAGCTTCCACCCCAGCCAGAACTCACCTAGGGTGACTGTCTAGCTGCTAGCCCTAGCAAGGCCACCTTGAACTGGGCACTCACCGAGGATGCGGACCTGCGTGATGGCGCCATGCAGGCTGAAGAGCATCCAGAGGGGCTGGGAGACGTCCACGCAGAGCTGCATGCCGGCCGGGGCGCCGTTGTGACTCAGGTGTAATTCTCCTTCGGCGTTGACCACAAGGCCCAGGATGTCGCCGCTGTGCAGAGGCCCGGGCACGCGGCACACCGCCCAGAACTCCTTGCGGTCCACTAGGGCCTCGGGGCTGAAGGGCAGGTCGGCCGGCCGCAGCGTGCCAGGGTCGCACGTGGTGACCCCAAAGGACAGCGCGCCGGCTCGCGCACCGCCCGATCGCGTGACTTTGATGAAGATGGTCTCGGCCACTCGCACCGGCCGGCTGGTGAAGACGAGCGCGCGCTCGTCGCGCCCGTGCTCCAGGCGCGCCACCGTCTGCTCGTCCAGTATGCGGACGTGCGAGCCGGCGCGCAGCGCGTGGAAGCGCAGGTCGCCGTCGAGCTGCGCCGGCAGCGCGCGGCTGTGCTGCGAGTTGAGCGAGTTCTGCGGAATCGGGCAGCCAGCGGGCGGTGCTCCATCGTCGCCGTCGGTTCCCGGCACGTTGAGGTCGCACAGGCTCACGGACAGGCGCGCCTCGTCCGCCTCGCACCGCAGGGACGGCCGCCGCAGCGCGGTGAAGGAGCGCGGCCGCAGGCAGTCCGGCAGCACCAGCTCGCTGTCTGAGGCGGGCAGGGCGACAGACGGGGCGATCGTCACCTTCCCACAGCGGTGACTGCGCGCCACCGACACTAAGGATGCTACTGCTCGCTAGGGCGCAAAGTCGGAAAGCAAAGGGGGCACGGGAATGTACCCTTTAAACAAAGGCATGTCCCTGAAGACACCGACTTCACGGCCATCTGGTTGCTTCTAAATGCTTCCCGGCTGGCAACGCTTTCTCTTACTGTCTGCAGAACTTTAAGTGTACTAATTCTTTTTTTTAAAGATTTTATTTTATTATGATACAGTATTTTGTCCACATGTCTGCCTGCAAGCCAGAAGAGGGCACTAGATCTCATTTCAGATGGTTGTAAACCACCATGTGGTTACTGGGAATTGAACTCAGGACCTCTGGAAGAGCAGCCAGTGCTCTTAACCCGCTGAGCCATCTCTCCAGCCCCCTAATTCTTATACGGTATGAGGAGGGTGTCTTATTTTTCTGAGAGCCTCGAACTCAGTGTGTGTCACAGTACCCACTAAGACAGGCTGACTTCCTCTACTCCCAGCCCCTCCATGGAAGAAAAAGTTTCCTAAGTTCTAATACCTAGGACTTCCCTATTTTATGTTTAACATCTAGAATGACGCCAGAAGTCAGTCTTAGGTGTTGTTTTTCAGGCACCGTCCATGTTTGTTTGTTTGTTTTAGAGGTCTCTTTCTCTTCTCTCCTCTCTCCTCTCCCCCCTCTCCTCTCTCCTCTTCCCTTCCCCATCCCTCCCTCCCTTTCTTTCTCCCTCCCTCCCTCCCTCTCCTCTCTCCCTCCCTCCCTCCCTCCCTCCCTCCCTCCCTCCCTCCCTCCCTCCCTCCCTCCCTCCCTCCCTCCCTCCCTCCCTCCCTCCCTCTCTCTCTCTCTCTCTCTCTCTCTCTCTCTCTCTTTCTCTCTGGCCTGGAACTGTCCAAGTGGTCTAGGCTAGCTAGCTAGGGAGGCTGGGCATCCCCAGCAGTGTGATTATAAACACACCACTACATCCCACCTTTAAAAGACAACAAACTCAGGTCCTCGTGGGTTTTGCCTGCCAAGCTATCTCTGCAGTCCTCAGAGTGGCTTTCAGACAAACAATAGCCATTTGTACTATTGACACTGTGGCACTCTAGGTCAAAAGGGACCCTCTCTCCCAGTTTCTTTGCATGAAGAGTGACATTTAAGCCAATACTTACCCTTTGAGGTTATCATGTCACATAAAGACATTAATGTGAAGGGAAGTTAAAGTCATCCAAGAAATAAAGACTTTTGAGGGCTTTGCTGAGCTGCAAACATCTCGCTAATCCAGACAGCTAACACAAGCTTCATTTTGAAGATGATACACTCCAGCAAAGAGAAACACACCACTCTGCCTGTTAGCCAGCCACCCAGAGAAAAAACATTCCCCATATTTGGACTGTGGCATGTCAGAGTCTTTTTAATGGATTTTAGTTTTTTTGTTAATGCAAAAATTGAGTTCTGCTCTATAAATACCAATAATGTTTAAACTCTGTGAATAGTAAGTCACTTTGGAAATATGATAACGTTGGCCCATCTCAGAACTTCTGGGCATCCATGAAGTGTATCACACCCTTCCATGTGCTTGGACTTCGGGCTCAAATTCCTGCTGTACACATTTCCTTTTTCACAACCACTTTTTTTTTCACATACTGTGTCCCAAACACCTCCTTTTCATGCCAACAGTTGCTTCTAGCCGTAGTCTTTTAATGGGTTTGCTATGCCCCTGCTCTGTGTAACTTACGGTGACCGCAACGACATACGCTGGGGGTGACCCCCTGAATGCTATCCCTAAAACAGCCGGTGGGCACATCCCACTGTAAATACAGCTCGGGGGTGTTGGGTGACAGCCACTGAGTGAGTAGACTCAATATTGGCAAGGTCTGTCTATCCCCCAATGCCACACTCTTTTTGTTGTTGTTGTAGTTTGTTTGGTTTGGGTTTTTTTTTTCAAGACAGGGTTTGTCTGTGTAGCATTGGCTGTCCTGGGACTCAGTCTAGACCAGGCTGGTCTCAAACTCACAGAGACCTGCCTGCCCCTTGCGTATTTGGACTAAAGGTGTGCTCGACCACTACCCAGCATCACATTCATGTTAGATGGAACCCCTTCTACAGAGTTGACATCCCCAAATCGGACTGACACCACTGTAAGCCACACTATGGTCTATGCCTTCCCAGGAGCCCGTGTGCCTAGGTAGCTGGGGAGCCCAAGTTGTCCATCAAAGCCTGGAAGACTAAGCCAACAAGAAGAACAGAGGCCATAGTCCTCTGTTCCACTGAGGATGGAGGAGCCACTAAAGCCCCTCTCCTTCCCTCTCCCAGAAGCTGCTATCTGGACTCAGGAAGGTTAGGTGCTGCCATTCCTCTTAAGTCTCAGGCTGCTCCAAAAGCCTCCTGGGCCCTGGCTGCTTGGGGTTTCCCAGAAATGCCTTGGCAAGGAGGAGGGAGTCAACCAGAAAACTTGATTATTCCAGGGAATTGACTCTGACAACGATGGCAATGGCTTGGAGGCTGGGGCTGTGCAGAGGCAGAGGTGAGGAGAACCGGGTAGACAGGAAGGAAGAGGTCAAGGGAGGGAGACAGGGTGGGGAGTGCCTGAGCCCTGGAGAAACAGTCTCTGCTTCCTGGTCCCTCAGGGGTTCCAGTACTGGGGACTCTAGGGAGTTGGGAGAAGAGAGGAGAGGAGAACGTTAACAAGAGGGATCAGTGGTTCAGAGACGCCAGCCCACGACCTATAGGAAAGATCCCACACAGGCTAACCCTCAGGAAAGCCTGAGTCCTGGAGCTGAGCAGGCCGTGCTATATATCACAGCCACACAGGTCAAAGTTGTGAACACTAATTAAGGAAGTCGTTCAGTAAGCAAGGAAGGACTTTGTCCTCAGGAGTTGGGTTTCTCTTAAACTGAATTCTTCATCTCTGTATCTAATGCACCACGCCTCTTGAGCTCTGAGCCTGTAGTGAAGATGCATCTGCCACCTCTCTCTCCACAATGAAGACAGCAGACACACCTCCCACCACTTAGAGAGCGAACAGACCCAGACAGTACTCCGGGTGTGTCCTGAAAAGGCTCAGAGTGACTATCATCTCCAAAAATGCGTACATCCTTCTCCAAATAACACAACCTAAGGATACCTTGGGTATCGGTTGGTTGGTTTTTATAACTAAAACCCATACACTGGTAGGCAGTCTACTGATAGGAACATAGTTGAGTATAGTGAATTTAAAGTCATCAGCCTGGGTTCAAATCCTGACTCGACCTTGGACAAGTGGCTTAACTTCACGGGGCCTTTCTTCGGCTGTGAGAAATGTAACTGACTTATAGAAATCCGTATTCTGAGGCTCACCTTGGAAGGATGCTGCAGGGATGTGATGGAATAAGACCCACTGGGTACTTGGTAAGGTACCTGGCACATGAGATCACCTGTCAGTGTAAGCCACTGTTTCCATGTCACCGTGGGTTCTAGGGCTCTCTGGACCAGGGGTTAAATGTTGCACCTGGTACTTAGCTGAGTGCGCCTAGCATGTGACGGTGCGCCTAGAGTATGGAGTCAGATACCTGCCTCGACCAGCTCTGGCAGAGCCTCTGTGGCCCAGACGATCCAGATGTTAGCATTTTGGGGTGGGGCATGGCCTAGCGGTACAAGGCTCTGGGTTCAAGCCCCAGCACCACGCGCCCACACAAACGCATTGTCCCTGCTGTCTGTAGACATATAAGTCACAGTGGGCACCCAGGCAATGCTCTTTGAATGGCATTACCGACTGCAAACCCAGGAGAAGCAGCTCAATGTGTAGATTAGAGAAGGAGGACGGAGAGAGGGAGGCAGACAGGGTAGGGAGTGGACTTAGGGGAAGCCTTGCTGAGCTGGGAGCTGGGACTCAGCAGCAGCTGGGAGTGGCCAGACCCCTCAGCCCAAGAATGTCTTCCCCCTTCCTCCCTGGCACTCAGCAGCAGCAGCTGTAGGTGGCCAGCAGGCTCCAAATAACTGTCCTCACGGCGGGTCAGCTGTGCAAGGCCCAGAAATAACTGCAACACTAGACACCCAGCACATGGCAGAGCCAAAGGGCCCCTGAGTGAGCTAACATGGAGGCAGACACAGCTGTGTCCAGCCCCCAAATCCAGAGAACACCTGGGACTCTCCCGGGATGAGGGTAACCTGAACCCACAACCAGGGGTTGGTCCCACATTTGGAAGCAACAAGTTATGTGATCAGCTGTCCTCTCAGGAGGGTCGGTGATGGAGACAGAGGTGGCATGGGATTTGAAAGGAGCTGCTCAGCCATTGTGATCCGTGCCCATTTGGTGGCTGCCAATTCTGGAGCCTGGCAGTGGTTCTGGACCAGAGCAGGAGGGCGAGGCTGTTACTACCCTTGCGTACTAACCCACAGGCAGAAGAGAGGTCAGACCTGGGTCCTGGGAATCAGCAGACAGCTAGTTTAGGCTCAGAGGCAGGAAGAATCCAAGTAGTTACAAGAGTCTTAGCATCTCATACTGGGTAGGAACTCAAAGAAAGCGAGGGACCAGGCAACCCACATACCCTTGCCAACTTCTCACTCAGCCTTGCCTTGAATGCCCCAGGGGAAAGCTCCCCACCTCAGAAAGCTTCCTAGCCGCTGTAAAAATAACTTTCCTTGGGTGAGGCACATAGCTCACTTGGTAGGGTGCTTGCCCAGAATACACAAAGACCCGGGTTTGATATTCAACACCTAACCAGCCAGGCACCCATGGTATACATCTGTAATCCTAGAACTGCGGAGATTCGGGCAGAAGCATCAGAAGTTCAAGGCCATCCATCCTCAACTAAATAATGAAGCTTAGTCAGTCCAGGCTCCACGAAACTTGGTTTTGAAAAGCTTTCCTGGTTTGGATTCTTTTTTTGTTTTGCTTTTCGAGACAGGGTTTCTTTGTATTGTTTTGGAGGCTGTCCTGGAACTCTCTCTCTGTAGACCAGGCTGGCCTCGAACTCATAGAGATCCGCCAGCCTCTGC